ACACACACACACACACACACGTACAGGTGTACACAACTTTAAAAACGTCCTTTCAAAGATATCGTCATGATTTAAATTGGTGTTAAGTTTATTTGTATGTTTATTGTCGAACACTGAAGAAAATATTTCATTTGAATAAACTTTTATTTTACTTATTCTGTCATTTCATTTTTTTATCCATCATTTCGTCCTCATGTAAAAATCCCTGAAGCGTCACAGGTTTGTATTTTAATATAAATTAACTTTTACACGTCACAGTGAGAACTGAAGGCGGAACTCTCGCGGCCCTGCGGAACTATCGCGGGCCTGCGGAACTCTCGCGGTACCTGCCCGGGTATATAAGCGTCCTCCCGGCCTCCTCCTCCCTCTTTGTCCCCTCCGGTGAAGGTGCAACAGTCCTCGGTCGTCCCGAACCCGGGTTCATCCGACACCGCCACCGAGCAACAGAACCGAGCTTCAGCTCCACAGCAACAACACCATGCCTCCTAAATTCGACCCCAACGAGATTAAGATCGGTACGTTTCTCTGTCGGGGCAAAGAAACATGGAGTCGTTCGCAGCGTGTCGGTCTCTGAGCGACGCAGAGAAACGGTAAAGACAGGACCCGAGAGCCGGCCCTCAGTCTGTGGAGCCACGGTGTAATATATACTTCTATAGAGATTAATATGAATACTGCTGCTGGGTAATTAGAATAATAATAATAATACGTGTTCAGTCTCACTCCTCCAGGAAACACGTGGGCCTAGCTGCTAACATGCTATAGCTAGGCTAGCATTAGCATAGATGAAACACTGATCTGAGACCTGAGCATTCAAACTGTCTGAAGAGTTTAACGAACTATTAGTAGATTCACCTTCTTTATTCAGTCCTGGTGTCTCACGTCATGGTTCTTAAGAAGTTTTTATCTTTTTACTTAATGTTGGGTCCGCTGGATTCTTCAAGTTCAGTTTAGTGATGAGAATGAAAAGATCCGTTTCAGTCAAACTGGTGAAACCAGGAAATATTCTCAAACAGATTTGATTTATCAGAGAACTACTGAAGTTTGATCTAGAACCTAAGTGTTGAACATGTGGTTGATCAACGTCCTGATGGAAACTGAAGAGAAACTAAAACACCGGATCTGTTTTTGGTGGCGATTCTTCAAAGTAAAAGCATAACATGCCTCCATCCTGCTGTGATGTCATCAAAGTGTCTGTAAGCGCCACTTTCAAATTCCCCTTGACGCCTCATCCACATGTTTTTACGAGACATGTCCTGAAGACCAGTTTTGAGTCTAGTTGTCTGTCAGCGGTTGAATGTGTTTGGATTCATGTGAAGATTCTCAATCCCTGGTTCTTTGTCTCAGTGTACATGAGATGCACAGGAGGAGAAGTCGGCGCCACCTCAGCTCTCGCCCCCAAGATCGGACCTCTGGGTCTGGTGAGTATCAAGATAGAAAACCTGAGCGTGAGGAATCAAACGAGCCTCCCGCCACTATGCCCGTCTGTCCAGTGACTGAGTATAATCCAGTGGAGGCTCAGATCGACCCAGCTTTAGGAAACAGAGCTGTTCACACTAATGGACCGCTCTGTGCCGAAAAGCCTGGAACACAAACCACAGATGCTTTAAAACCTTTCAGCTGCAGTTTGTTTACATGCGACAGGTTGAGCTCATCACGTCTCGTTTTCTCTCCAGTCTCCCAAGAAAGTTGGTGATGACATCGCCAAGGCCACCGGTGACTGGAAGGGCCTGAGGATCACAGTGAAGCTGACCATCCAGAACAGACAGGCAGCCGTACGTACTCACCGCTGCGGTGTCCACGTTCAGACACAGCTTCACACTCCAGCTCATGTCACTCAGACACATGCAGCAGGATGTTCTTTCTGAACATGGATGATACGCTGAAGATTAATGTAGATTCATTCCAAACCATTTAACTTGATATTTAACTACAATGTCTTGTTTTTGTCCAAAGATTCTTTGTTTAGTTTGGTATTTATTACAAGTTAAATCCAAGTCTGTGTATTTCACTGTTGAAACAAATGTCCAGATGTGAAATGTGGATATTAATCATCACTTCCTGTTTGTCAGGTCGAGGTGGTTCCCTCTGCATCTGCTCTGATCATCAAGGCTCTGAAGGAGCCTCCTCGTGACAGGAAGAAGGTCAAGAACAGTAAGTGACTATTAATTCACAAGATGCCAACTTTTTTTTTATATCCTGCGATTGAACGGGACAATTAACCACATTTCATCACTTCCTTCCAGTTAAGCACAGCGGCAGCGTGACCTTTGACGAGATCGTGGGCATCGCTCGCATCATGAGGGCTCGCTCCATCGCCAGGGAGCTCTCTGGTAAGAGTCCAGCTGTAGTAGAGTTTTTACAGCGGCTGTGACCAGATGCTCCTTCGGTCTTCTGCGTGCACGGCTCAGCCTCCCGCCACTATGCCCGTCTGTCCAGTGACTGAGTATAATCCAGTGGAGGCTCAGATCGACCCAGCTTTAGGAAACGGAGCTGTTCACACTAATGGACCGCTCTGTGCCGAAAAGCCTGGAACATTTGTGTTATTAAAAATCATTTTCAGCCTGTTCTATAAATCTTGTCTTGGACATGTCTTAGACTTTGAATGTTTTAATGTTGGCAGAGTGGACAGCATGATCTTTACCAACTTTATTTTTCCCTCTTCAGGAACCATCAAGGAGATTCTGGGCACCGCTCAGTCTGTTGGATGCACCATCGATGGTCGTCCCCCACATGATGTCATCGATGACATCAACAGCGGCAAAGTGGAGTGTCCCTCAGAGTAAATGGATGCAAATAAAAAGTTGACCTGAATGATCTTGTTTGTCTTTTCTGTCCTCTGTAAAAACCTCATGAAACCTTTATAAAGTAAATGACTTTTATTCTAGTGTCCAGGGGACAAACTGAAGCAGACGTGATTCAAATGTTGCTATTTGCAGTTTGTGGCTTCAGTGTTAAGGTTTCTACAGGTGGACATTTTATGTTCATATATATTTAGTTGCTTGTGTGTTTACATGCTCAGCTAATGAAGCTGTTGAGGTCATTGAGTAGAATCCAGAGGGAAGAACCTCCAGGTTGTGAAGATTTGTTTCTGATGAGTTTGGTCAGGATGTGAAGTGTTGGTCACTGCATGACTTCCCTCAGTTGCAATTCATTTACTTAATTTTGCTCAAGAAACTACAACAGTTAATTACCAGTTAAATTAGTTGTGTATATTCATTGAACAGTAAAAGGTCAGATTCTGCAGCATGGACTTTTGAAACTTGGAAAAAACTTTTTGGTGTTAACAATTTTGAATTAATCTATCAAGAATAACAGATTTTACAATTTAGCAAATTTTCAGATTGAAAATGTTTAATATTTGTGATTCCTAATTTGTCTGTAGTATAAAATATACATACAACATATATATATACAAAATGAAATAAAACCTCGAGCAGGATCATTATGATGATCATAATGTTCAGGATTGAACAAACATCTGGAGTCATGAATGAATCTGTGCAGGTTCAGTTTTATACAAAATATTTATTGAAATCCGAGTCAGTAAATTTTCTACAAAAGTACAAACGTTTCAAAAACTGCAGAAAAATAACAAAACAAAACGTCCTAAAAACACAGAGCAGTGCAGCTACTGGCTCCGAGTGTGACGTCGTCCACAGTCCGAGCCTTTTATTTAACGTGAGGAACCGACTGAATCTGACAAATACTAACGTTCACTTTCTCAGGATGTGTGAAAAAATAAAAACATGGTTGTAAATTTGAAACTAGAAAATGATTTTGTTTCAAACGCTCAGATGTTTGCGGCCGATCTGAATTTTAAGTTCTTGTTCAGCTTCATTTATTTAAATGACTTCACTTTCAAACTTTGACTTGTTTGTAAAATGAATCAAGTTCGGGAGGAAAATGTGTTGATGTTTCTCAGACTGACGGCGTCACAGGAAGTTTAAATGCTGCTCGAACATGATGAGCTTATTTCTTCATGTGTGTTTGTTAACAGTACAACATGCAAACTAATTGATCTTCAGATCTTCTTCACATTTAAAGGTTGGATATTTATGAGTGTGTGATTCCGTGCAGCTTGTTGAGATGGGTGAGTTCTACTGAGTGTGTTGGTTCAATGACACGGATCTACTTTGACTCCACCTGGAGTCAAAACACGTTTCATTTCCAGATCTATCCAGTCGTCGTTAGTGCGGCTCCACCTTAACAACAAAAGAAGAGCTGCAGATGTTGTGCATCAGTAACGCTGTTTAACAGCTGCTGGTACTCGCTGACCTGGAACACTTGTGTGATTATTATTTACACACGTGTAGTTGTTGTACACGGATCAGCAGCACAACACGTACACTCATATTTAGAGTGTGGTCACAATAAGACCCTGAACACCTCGACAGGGCTTCAGCCAATCAGATCTCAACCTGTCCTCAATGTTTCTTTGGTGCGTTTACACGTTTACTGTCATGAGCTGGAGCGCTAACTGATTGTAATCTGATTACTGATGAAGTATTCTAATGCCAGGTGTGAATAAAAGATTCTGTTACTGAAGAAATCAAACTGTGTAAATATCAAAATGTTACTGTAAAAAAATTTAATACAAAATGGACCCAGACAAAAGTGAAGTGCATGTGTGTGTGTGAGTGTGTGTGTGTGTGTGAGTGTGTGTGTGTGTGTGTGGAAGACTCTGTAACTCCTCCTCTTAGTAACCTGATGTTACTGTTACGTTGATGCGATGATGAACAGGCACCACTCGACCTCGTCCAGTGCGGGGGGGTGTATGTCATCGTTCATGTCACCAGAGCTCTGTGCCGACACCTCCTCAATTCTCCACCTCCTCCTCCTCCTCCGCTTCATTCTCGGCTTCAGGCTCCTCCTCCATTCGCTCTTCCTCCTCCTCCTCCTCTTCCTCCTCCCTGCTCTTGTCGTTCTCAGAGTCGGCCTTCTTCTCTTTATCTTTGCGCTTCTGCTCCGACACCTCCTTCTTTCCTTTCTGGCCCTTCTTATACACTGTTGACACAAAAACACCATCAACTGGATGTCATGTTAACGACCGTCTCTCGATGTTACATGTGCGTGTTCAGTCTCAATATTCATTGAAATACACGAAGGAGTTGAAGATGTCTCCTCTCTGTCGGTCACATCTCAGTTAGATATGAACGTCTGTGAGCGTAGATGTTCTGTTGGTTCTTTATCTAGAACCTGACCTTGGTACTGCTCAGAGAGAGAAGGGAGGATCTGTGGAGCCAGGCTCCGACCTCATTTCAAACAAATCCACATGTAAACTGTGGCAAGTCAGAGACGTCGGCTGGTGTGTGTGTGTGTGTGTGTGTCTGAGTGTGTGTGTGTGTCTGTGTGTGTGCGCGCACAATGTTTCATCGCCCTTTTCTTACCCTAACGTTTCCCTCAAGTTCTGGGACGATCATAAAGAAGCTATGCTAGTCAGTAATCAGCCTCACTTTGGGTCGGACAAACATTCATAAATATGCAGAAATATATAAATCACAATGAACCAACCTTCCAAAGATTCTTTGAGAGGCTCCAGGAATCGTTCAAACTCCATTTCCTCCATCGCAGACAACACGTCTCCTGCATTCAGAGTCTTTCTTTTGGCTTTCATCGCAAAATTATTTGCACTGGACGAGATAAACAGAAGCAAAACCGATTTTTATATTTTCTATAAGTGTTAATATATAAAACAGATAGTGAGGTAGCTCAAGGAAAGAGTAAAGAAACAAAACGAATATTTATGAGCCCTAAAGCCACGGGAATATTTGGCTCATTGTCTGATTACTTTTCAAATATGTGAAGCTCTTCATGTCATAGTTTCATGGAGTCATCAGGCTCTTTGGTCTTTTTACTGCATCGTCTTCGATCTCAGTAAACCAGATGTTGTAACTTCATTAGTTACGTTGACAGAAGCTTCATCGACGACGTTGGAGTCGTTTGAATGAAGTCATGTGGACGTAGATTCTCCAGGTGTGAAATGTTTGGAATCATCATCAGACTTTGTGTGTTTGACTGTGTGTTGTGTGTTCTTCTTACCAGGAGGTTGCGTACAACACAAACACACTGGCAGCTTGAGAGATGGCTCTTCTTGCTTCTTTGGACACGTTCACTCCATCTGGGAGCTGTTGAAGACAAACGGAGCGGAGGACGAAGGTTTGAATCTCAAAACACAGAAACACAAACTGTTGTACACGTATTCATATATAAGCAGATCGTACTCCTGTAGTTAGTGACCTGGTTAATGGTATAAAAGCTTCAGACGATAATTGATTTAATAAGTTCTGATTCTCTAGATGAAGTTTTAACAAGTAAATACTGATCTGTTACTGTCAAGTTACTGTCAAGTTACAGTTACTGTCAAGTTACAGTTACTGTGAAGTTACAGTAACTGTTCGTTACAGTTACTGTAACTTCACTGTCTGTGTGAGAGAAACAGTTTGAATGACTTTCTGAGCCCCGCACACTCTTATTCACACACGCGCACACGCACTCACCGCCTCCTTGATGATGCGGGTGATCACCGCGTTAGGAAGGTTCAGGTCTTCCGGTCTCTCCGCCATCTCTCTCCCCGGTCAACGACTCTTTATCCGGGACTGTTCACCGTGAGTTCCCCGCTCCACTGTCCGGAGCAGCTCAGTGCTAAGCTAACCGATTAGCGTTAGCCCGGAGCTAACAGAGGAGCTAATGGTTCAACAGACTGGTCCGTTGCCGACAGTGACGTCACACAGCTGCGTTCACGGTACCGGAGGTTAAAGTTCAGCTCGCGACCATCGGAACCGATTTGTTTTGAGACGTTTTCCCGCGAAGCTTCCAACCACGAGCCCGACTCTGACGTCACGTCAACTTTGACCTCTGACGTAGCCGGACACGTCACTGTCACGTGTTTAACGTGCAAAATATATTGAAACTATATTTATATTTATTTATATATATGTATAATATATATTTTTTATTTATTTAAGATTTATTGTTACAATCAACGAATGTGATGAAAGACGATTAAAACTTCACATTCATTTTAAATTATTCCGTCAATTTGCTGAAGAAGAAATCAAAGAAGCTTCAATTCAACCCAAAGAGTGAATATACAAATGAACCTTTATTCAATAAATCAACAATAACAAATGTGTCCACACAATCATGCTTCCTATTTATATATATATATATGAATATATATATATATACATATATATATATTCATATGTATTCATATGTATTCACCTCAGAGATTAAATATCTGCACAATGTTTCGACAAACTGGGAAACACTGAAATCCTTTTGATCAGTGTCTGGATGAGAATGAATTTCCCCGAGCGGTCAGTTCATTTCACACCTTCATCACAAACACTGAAGGTCAAGGTTTGTTGGAGGAAAGGTATTTAGGTGGTTTCCATGGCAGCGGCCTTCACATGCAGCAGGGTGATGCAGCCCACACAAAGTAAACCACTCTGTGAAGGAGGCGACGCAGTGAAAGACACATTCTACGCCCACTAAGTTCAAGTTTCTTGGTTTCTGGGCATCAGTCCAGAACAACAAAGTTCCCTCCTCGGCTACAACAATCACTGCAGCTACACTCTTTCTGTCTGTGCTCATTAACACGTTGATCGGCTGCTGCAGGTGGAAAACTAATTCCAAAAATCTCACAGCAGCTCAAGATGATACTGTTTTTACATCCTGAGCTGAGGAGGAGTTAGCATTTAGTTTAATCAATTCACAGTTATTTTAGAGACAGGCTGATGATGTTCCTCCACATGCAGGGTCTTCAGCTGGGAGCCGCCTTCACAGATGTTTGGCCCTTGAACCCAGAACATCTCAGGGATTCCTTTGTGTGGCTCCTGTCTGCCCCAGATCTTGTCTTCTCTTGGTGGTCATAGCCAAAAGTAGTAAATACATAATGTTGCTCTGTCTATCTGGCAGGTGACACCGAAGATAAAGTGTTGAGTGTACTGATGTACTCGAGTACATACATGACCTCATCAGTCAGTGGTGTCAATTATAGGTCTGATTTTAAAAAGTGACCAGATTTATATATATTTGCCTTTTAATTCATCCAAAAATGCAGTTTCATTGTTTCTTGTCTTGATTTGTTGATGTCAGAATCAGGTTTTATTGCAAGGCAGGTTTACACATAGAATTTGCTGTGGTGTATTTGTGCAAGTATAAAGATAAAAATAGGAAACAAAAGTTCCTCCACTATTTGCCACAGGAAGTTAAAGTGTACAGGAGAAAGTGTGTGTTTATCAAAACTAACAGGAAACACGCCAGGATTATCTATAACATGTATTACTATAACATATATAACTAGAATGAGCATCCCATGTTGATTCATCAGCAGACATTAAAGATAATATTCTGAGGACACTGACCACGCCTTTAAGAGGAGCGGCTTTATTATACTGGTGGAAATCTGCAACCTCACCACTAGATGTCGTTAGATCCCACACACTTTCACTCAGTCTGACGTCAGAGGCTCTGGATCATTTCTCTTGTGTTATAAACGTTAAAAATAATAAAAGAAGGATTTTTCATTGAGTGTGACCGTGTGATGAACAGAGGGTCGGACAGGCCGGTTATGATTATTGCATGAATTACTTCTCCCTCATAAATTGCACCTAGTGTGTATTTCTTTGTAGATATTATTTAATGCTTTGTGTTGGTTTTGCGTTGCTTTGCATTTTTCTACATTATTTTTCGTCTCCTTGTAGCTTTGACGTTTTTCTTCTGGTTTTGTATCCGTTTTCCTCATTTATCACATTTTGCATCTGTTTGTAAAGGTTTCACATTGTGTTGTTGTTAAATCTCTTTATATTGTGTCTTTATGTGGTTGTGTTGTTTTGTTGTCTCCTCGACTTGTTGATTCAATTAGATTTGATTTATTGACCCGGAATCGAACCACGGAATAAATAAATAACAGGAAAAAACGAGGTTGGTATGATGGTGCATGTACATACATGTTTCTACATTTACATACATGTACATACATTTACACGCACATAGTACAACATATCATATATGTTGCATATTTATACATTTAAGTTATGAGTCTGAGGTTTTCTGTGGTTTTAATAAGGCTGTATCGTGTTCTTCTATGGTTCTACCATGTTCTACTGAGGTTCTATCTTATTTTAATGAGGTTCTATCTTGTTTTAATGAGGTTATCCCTTGTTTTATTGAGGTTCTATCTTGTTCTATTGAGGTTCTACCTTGTTTTATTGAGGATCTATCTTGTTCTTCTGAGGTTCTACCTTGTTTTAATGAAGTTCTACATTGTTTTGATGAGGTTCTATCTTGTTTTAATGAGGTTCTATCTTGTTTTATTGAGGTTATATCTTGTTCTACTGAGGTACTACCTCATTTTAATGAGGTTCTATCTTTTTTTAATGAGGTTCTATCTTCTTTTATTGAGGTTCAATCTTGTTATACTGAGGTTCAATCTTGTTTATTTGATGTTCTATCTTGTTCTACTGAGGTTCTATCTTGTTTTATTGAGGTTGTATCTTGTTCTACTGAGGTTCTACCTTGTTTTAATGAGGTTCTATCTTGTTCTACTGAGGTTCTATCTTATTTTAATGAGGTTCTATATTGTTCTACTGAGGTTCTATCTTGTCTTATCAAGGTTCTATCTTGTTTTAATGAGGTTCTATCTTGTTCTACTGAGATTCTATCTTGTTCTACTGAGATTCTATCTTGTTCTACTGAGATTCTATCTTGTTCTACTGAGATTCTATCTTGT